CTCTGGTAAAAATCTGTTTCTCTGATCCTTTGGTGTTTTCTACTCTTCCTTTTACTATGCTTTTTAAAAAAAACTTGCTCTCTGGATAGCCTTTCTTATTTCTCCATCTGCTTTCCTCATATCCAGAAACTGTTATCCCTGAAGACAAGTCATCCACACAGGCATGAGTTTGCTTGTTGCTCTCTGGTTGCCCCAAATATCCTGCGTTTACTCTCATTTAAGCAGTTCTTCCCTCTTCTAGCCAAGCCAACAATCCGCTCTTCTTCCTTATTTGTCCACAAAGCTACCTTTCTCTAAGATAACCCAGCTAAGTGGTAGAGATGTAAACTCTTCAAACTAAATCATGTTAATTTAAATAGTTAATAATTTTTATTGACCAACCATTATCCTGTCCTATGACCACAATGCTCACTGAAATAATTTCACTTGGGTAAAATTTCATACCAATGAAATTGGGATGGGGAATATTTCTGGTGGGGTTAATTGGAGACACACCTCTAACCATACAAAACCACCTATTTCCCATATATTCCAGGCTTCGAGTAGACAAGAAATTGGGGAATAAAAAGAGGACTTCTGCCAAGATAGAGGTGCAGGTGGGAGCACTACGCCTTCTCGCACAACTAAGTTTAAAAACAACAAAGTTTTAGCAACCAAAACGCTGCCAAACCACAGAAAATTGAACTACATGGAAAACTGATAACGAATCCTTCAATCAAACCAGTAAGAGGGGCAGAGCCAGCAGCAGAGCAGGGTCAGGCAGGAAAGATCCACCAGACCAACCTGGGCACGCAACCCAGGTGCACCAGCAGCCGTGGGTGGATCCCAGGTGTGGAGAAGCGGGCAGACCCACTGAGGGCTGATCACGGTCACACATTCACACGTAGAGAAGCCGGTGAAGGAGCTAGCGGTGAGACGGACCGTGAAGTCCCCAGCTGCAGGAAGCGGCAGAGGGAACCACCATTGTCCCTCTCTGACCCCGCCCTCACATGCAGTGTCACAAACCAGCGACCTGGGTGGCCCCTCTCTGGCCACGCCCCCACATATAGCGTCACAAACCAGTGACATGGGTGGCCCCGCCCTGGTGAACACCTATGGCTCCACTCCTCACACGTAACAGGCACGAACAAATCAAAACATGGCTCAAGAACAACTCAGAGCCCCTGAGACAATAAATCTAAGTGATGAAGAAATAGCCAAACTTTCAGACGCACAGTTCAAAACACTGGTGATCAGGATGCTCACAGAACTGGTAGATTTTAGTCACAAATTAGAGGAACATATGAAGGCTAAACTAATTGAAATGAAGGGAAATACACAGGAAACCAACAGTAATGGAAAGGAAACTGGGACTCAAATCAAAGGAGTAGACCAGAAAGAGGAAAAAAGTGACCAAACAGAAAAGGATGAAGAAACAAGAATTCAAAAAAATGAGGAGAGGCTTAGAAACCTCCAGGACATCTTTAAACGTTCCAACATCCGAATTATTAGGGGTACCAGAAGGGCAAGAGGAACAGCCATGAGTGGAAAACTTATTTGAACAAATAATAAAGGAGAATTTCCCCAATCTGGCAAAGGCAATAGACTTCTAGGAAATTCAGGAAGCTCAGAGAGTCCCAAAGAAGTTGGACCCAAGAAGGAACACACCAAGGCACATCATCATTACATTAGCCAAGATGAAAATGAAGGAGAGAATCCCAGAACCAGCAAGAGCAAAGGGGACAGTCACCTACAAAGGAGTTCCCATCAGACTGTCAGTGGATTTCTCAAAAGAGACCTTACAGGCAAGAAGGGGCTGGAAAGAGGTATTCCAAGTCATGAAATCCAAAGACCTACATCCAAGATTGATCTATCCAGCCAAGCTTTCATTTAGAATGGAAGGACACTTAAAGTGCTTCTCAGATAAAATCAAGTTCAAGGAGTTCATCATCACCAAGCCCTTATTATATGAAATGTTAAAGGGACTTATCTAAGAACAAGAAGATAAAAAAGATGAACAGTGAAAGGACAGCAAACTCACAGTTATTAAAAACCGCACCTAAAACAAAAGCAAACTAAGAGGACAGCTAGATCAGGAGCAGAACCGTAGAAATGAAGATCATATGGAAGGTTAGCAACAGAGGAGTGGGAGAAGGAGAAGGGGGGAGAAGGTACAGAAAATAAGCAGCATAGACAGTAGGCAGAAAATAGATGGGTAGAGGGCAAGAATAGTATGGGAAATACAGAATCTAAAGAACTTGAGGCACATGGTCATAAACTAAAAGGGGGGGAATGGTGGGGGAGGAGATGTGCAGGGTGGAGGGGAATGAAGGGGGGAAATAGAACAACTGTAATGGCATAATTAATAAAATATATATTAAAAAACAAAAGGAAAAACTGACCCCTTTTGGGATTTCCTGATTCTACCTGCTTTCTAAGGCTTGATTCAGCTATGTCTAACATTTGAAATCCAACGATTGGAGGAAAGGGGATGTGCCAAAAGTACAGTCCAGTTTCCAATGTCTGGATGCAGATAATACTGTCAACCAAGGGGTCCTAGAACACTGAAGCCCAGTGCCAAAAAAATGAAATGTCTAATAGACTCCTAGGTTGTGGATCCAGGATGTCAGAAGGTTCTCAAAGTTTTCTTTCTCTTATCTGTTCATCACTCTTTGTCCTTCAGTTGATCATAAAAATACTTCTTTTGATTACTGAGAGTAATACTAATTGCCATTTATGGCTAATTACTTCTGGCAAAGTAATAAACATTAAATTGTAGTTAGCGTTGTTTTAAGCTTTACTTTAACACTATTATTCTCAAGTGCTTACTCTTCATATAGTCATGTTCACATGATAGGTTTACCATACTAACTAAAAGAAGCCAGACACAAAAGGTAATATATTACATGACTCCACTTATATGAAAGTGAATGATGAATCAAATGTAATTACAGTAGTCCCTCTTTATCCACAGGGATATGTTCTAAGACCCACAGTGGATGCCTGAAACTCAGGACAGTACCGAACCCAACATATATTTTTCCTATACATACATACCTATGATACAGTTTAATTTATAAATAAGGTACAGTAAACACTTAACAGTAACTGACAATGAAATAAAACAATTATAATACACTGTAAAAAGAAGTTACTGTTTCACTTATTTATGCATTCATTGGTTGATTCTTGTACGTTCCCTGACCTGGTATTGAATCCACAGCCTTTCCATTTTGAGATGATCTTCTAACCAACTCAGCTATCCAGCCAGGGCTACTTGTATTTTCAATGTTTTCTTCAAGCTACATATATCATTCTTAATTAAAAGTGATACAAATTAAAAATAAAAAACTTAAAAAATTTATTCACTTTTTTAAGGAGAGATACATCGATGCATCATTCCACTTATTTATGTATTCATTGGTTGACACTTGTTAGTGCTCTGACCAGGGTTTGAACCCACAACATTGGCATATTGGGATGATGCTCTAACAAAGTGAGCTACACAGCTAGGGCTAAAATTTATTTTCTTAATAGTTCTAAAATTTATATGACATGGAATTACAGAATCTTTGCTCTTTAAGAGGCCAAGAAGAGTCTCTGCCAAATTGAATTAACCTTATCTACATTATTTGACACTATCCAGATTTTTCCTAATAGAGAGATCAATATTTGAAAACAAATTATTCTACTGTTAAAATAATTACGTCTACCCCCTTTTTTATGAAACAGTCTTGGAAGTATTTTTAGATAGCTTTTGGGAGACCGGTATGTCTTCATTTTTCCAGGCTTTATATTTAGTTATGCCTATTTGTACACCCTACCTGTCATTCATTAATATTCTTCTTAAAATGGCACGGCCAGGACCCAACACAACATTCCAAATGATTTCTGATCACTTTTCTTTTATGAATGTATAGTTTAAGACTACATCAGCATTGTTAGTAGTTATGTAATACTGACAGCTTAAGATTATAGAATATAGAATCATCCAAGTCTATTTTACCAGCAACTCATGTCTTCCAAATCCACAGCTTAAGTACTGCATTTGTCCACACTAAATTTAAATATGGGCTAAAAACTGACCTTAGAATTAAGAAAATATATCTACTTCTTGGTCATAGAAAGCTCTCTGTCTCCTTTCTGCATTTTTGGCTTGGCGAAGCTGACTAATCAGTCAAGCAATCAGCTATTTATTGCTTTTGTTTTTAACTTAAAAAAAAATTTTTTTTGGTACAATTGTCTCCATTTTCCCTCCACCACTTTCCCCTGCCCCTGTTTTTTGCTTATTTTACCTGTGGGAAGTTGTACTTTTTAATATTCAGTTTGGAGGAAAATCACATCATCAGAGGCAGTGTGGTTGATTAAATGAATCACTTAAGGTCTTAATCAGAGAAAAAATGAATAGTGAACACAAAAGGGGTGAAGAAGTAATGACTGTCCCAACATTTTAGAAAGCAGCAACGTGCAGACTCAGTTTTCCTTTTAATGTTTTCTCAGCAGTAGCAATGGTGCCAAAGTCCAGAGGAGATGGGAATTTCTGTATCTATATTACTTCTATTAATTGTTAAGAGTTACAGCACTCCAGTTCCCTTGTTTGTAAGATGGTTGAACTTATACAAATACAGACAGCAATTTATTTCTATGTTTAAAAAATCTGATATAAATTCTTGGGAAGCCACAAATTTTATGTTCTAAGTTTCAGATACAAACCTAAAGGTTAAATTGTACATTAGTCATAAGTCTTATTAGTGAAATCTTTATAATTTCTCATATGCCAAGACTTATAATAATCTGCTAAAAATGAAAGAAGTTATGCCTATTTGAAACATTTTACCTATCACTGTTTTATTCAAAACCACACAAGTAGTGGCCTAATAAGTGGCTAGAAAGAATCTTACCCACCTGCATAAGTACTTAATATATTCGTTTTTGTCTTACAAGACTTTAGTAAACAGTGTCACTTGATACCCATGTGTAGCTTTCTCAGAAATAGTAAATATGCCAATTATTGAAACTACCTTGAGTGGTGAAGTTGAAGAGTGCAGGTGTGTCTCGCCCATTTGGTAGTTTGACATTTGGGTCCCGTAATTCATCAAAAAACGAATGTGCACAAGCTTCCAGTGGTGTCAGTCGGGCAGTTGGCGTGTACTCGAGCAAACGGCTACACAGTGCAATCGCCTCTGGTGGAGTTCGGGGTCGGAAGACCTGCAGTACAAAACAAGGAAAAGAACGATTAATGTTTTAAAAGAATCTTAGCAATTTATCCTCTGAGTACTGAGTTAATTCCCACACTGTACAAAAACATGGTTGCATTTGTGAAAGAAATCTTCTAGGATGAAAAGAGTTAACTGTATATGATTCACTACACTGGAATGAACTAACTGTTTTAAAGAACAGATGAGAAAAGCTCAGAGAAAAAAACTAGGGGAGATGGGAGAAAAATCTATATATGCTAATCATAAAGTAGAACAATCAAACATGCACACAAAATATGACAGGCACAAAAGAAAGGATGGATTCTGGGGGCCAACACAAGAAGAATATCAACAAAAAATTGAAGTTTTGACTGGTGGCATTAGATAAAAATTTGCTTCTTTTGTGTGATTTTTAGCAGAAAAATTGTTGATAATGGATAGCACTATTCATCTGGCAATCAACATCTTTTCAAAAAGAAAAGCTATTTACTGTAAGTCTATCTTTTCAATAAACATAACCTAGCATTATTTGAAGAAATTCTTGAATACCCAGAATTTGACAAAATGTCCAAAATTGTTTTCTCAAGTAGCTGTCTATCACGAACATGGCCAGATTACATGAATTTGTATGAATGCTCTCAGGTTTTAATCAGAAAGAGAGACATACAGTTTCATTAAGAGCCATAGGTCAACTCACAAAAGTCAACTGAATAAAGGCTATCGTGAAGCAAAATGAAAAAAAAAATCTGCTTAATGGAATAGAAAGCTCTCTATTTATGTATGTCTTAAAATCCCTGATCAATACATAAAACTACAAAAATATACTTTGTTCTAAATTATGGACAGTTCAAGAATGAAAGCAGAAGGGGAAACAGAAATAAACAGATGGACAGAAAGCTTTTGAAACTAAAAAAAGAAAAAAGAAAGATGTATCTCTCTATAGGAAGAACACAAAATCAAACAGAAGGTGTGCTTGTGGTAGCAGCAGTGGTGGAGGTAGACAGACATATAAAAAGAAGCACACGTGCACTGAGGGAGGGAAAAAGACCCACAAGTGAGGAAAGGACATGTAGACTGTGACAAGGCATGAAGGAGCCTGGGAGGTTAAGGTTTCCTGAGAATGGCTCGTATAAATCTGGGTATTCACTTCAACTGAAGGTAGGAGAACTCGTTAACTCTCTGTAAGGTCAAAAAATGCTTTACCTTTTATTCTTTTCAGTGCTCTGACTTGCCTCACTCAAGAAAACCTAACTTTATATATTATTTGCAACGTTTAAATCTTCCACTACTCTTCATCATTTTTTCCTCTCATGTTCCCCAGCTAGGTCCGTTATCAAACTCATATGTAAAAGAAAACAGTAGGAAAACAGAAATTTTTTATTGAAAATATTAAGCACTACTGACATATTTTATCCTTGAGTACAGTTTGATTTATTTGAGAGCATATGGATTTATTTTGCCGGCCAATAAAAATTGCCTGTGTGCCAACATGGGAGGCACCTGAGTAGAATTAAAAGTAGAAATAAATATCTCCTGCTAAGATTCAAATGTAGAGTAGCTAGACAGTGACTATATTTTAAATTTAAAAATTTTATGTTATGTTAAAAGACTGTATAAAGCTATTAATAAACCAGTATTGTAAACTGATCTGATTATTAAAAAAAGTCATCCACATCCTTTTAGTATCTTATAGGCTATGAGTGACCATCCATATTAGCACTGTGACACATACTAGCCTATTTTGCCAGGGAGTCCTAACTCACAGAATCAAAGAGTTAAAAACAAAAAAGAATTCATTCCAAAAACCTACATTAGAATCAAGACTTAAACTCCCTTTATTAAAAAGTATGCATTCTTACTTCAAGCCTTTTAAAAGATTCTTGATGAGAAAAGCTTTGGTTTAGTACCTTATAGATAAAGGTTAAGTGGAAACTTATGTGAGGTCAAAATGCAGTGTTTCCTAAAGTTCAGATTTCTGACAATAATACAGGGTATGGTAGCATGCAACTCCCAAAAACTACAAGCCAAACTAGAACACAGTTCTTCTCAATTATCTTTGTGTCTAAAGAAAAGTAAACTACTAAATTGGACTTTTAATAAAGATGTTTCTGCTGCTGCATCATTATTTACTCATTTTAACTGCTTAATATTCATAACCTATGGTTCTGTGGACTTTTGTCAATATTTTTTCTTGCAAAAACAATTTTCAACCCCCACAATTCCTAAACTTCAGTCCAGATGTCAATACATCACTCAGAAGACTGGCAAACACATCACTCAGAATATACCACAAGCAAAACCTGTACCAGAGAGTGAATGAAGTTAGAAATCAGAGCTATCTACATTGTTTTACTGTTATATTTCAAGAATGAGAGTAACTGTCTAGCCTTCCAAAAAGTTTTCCCCCTAGTTTTATAGACCTACCCTGAAATTTTGGGAAAAAAAATTTAAGTACATACCCGCACTCCTGAGGTGAAATGTCCTGTTCCTGACGAATCCTAAAGATGATAATGCAGTGAAATAATCCAAACAGGGGAAGTCAATCCAAAAGAGAATAGTCCAGCAAGGAAAAATATATCCAATGTTATAAGAAATCCATGGTGTGGGGAGGGACATAGAAAATGTTTATACAGTTATAAACTTTAAACATCAGTCTCCACAGTAGCAAGTCCAAGTTTTAAAAATTATTTCACCACAGTGTATGCAAAAAATTTTTGATTGCGCAATGGTGAGGCACAGTAAAGAAACATTTTAATTTTAGTTTATTATGTTCCAATGCCAGTGCATTTATTAAAAAAATACAAAACCAAAAAAAGTTAAAATCAAAATGAAATCTAGAAGTAAAGTTCCCAAAGTAAAGTGTTTGGTCTTCTATGACCTGGATTCATCGTCCATTGATGGCTGGGAGGGGGCATTTAAGACAGCTTTTTAAAGATGTGAGTTCCCAATATGCTAATTTTTCTCTATTAACATATTCCAGTTATACAGTATAAACATTTTTCTGCTAAATTATTAGTGATGAGAGGAAAGTAATAAATATATTTAATTTACATTACTATAGATTTCAAGCCAGATATTTTCAATTTGTGTGAGCTAATAAGAAGAATCAGGCCACCGCGGATTATTCTCCATTTTGGATTGACTTCCCTGCTAAAAGATATTTGCTGACATTCTTATTTTCTTAGGACTCTTCAGAAAATAGACATATCACCTCAGGAGTGCGGGTATAAACTTATATTTTCTATTGTGGGCTTTGCCCCCTTATACCCTTGCACCCATTACTTAGGAAAATATAGAACATTCTTTCCTTTTTGGAAAAAATCACTGAAAAAAAATCCTGCATCTTTGAGCACTATAAATCCAACACAGTTCCATCTGCAAATATGCCCAATTCACCCACCAAAAGCTAAACAAAAATATATACAATATAAACAATACAACTAAGGGACTATCACAGTTATAGGTGACATGCATAGTGATGTACACCAACACCTAGGCACAACGGAGCCAAATATGCAAGGGAGGTGGGAGGGTCTATTATGTCTAGGCATTGAGAACAAACAATGGCAGAACTCACCCGTAGCTGTGAATTCCCTTGGCTATTCTGAGAGAATTTAACGTTCTTTTAGAATAGTTTCCAGTGGGGGAATTAAATATTTTGCAAAAATAAATAATCCGCGGATTACTTTTAGTCTGCAAACTAAAATTTAGTACACGGATTAAAATCCGGCCCATCAAAATAGAAATCTCTCATGAACTAAAGCACAACCAGGTGGACAAATAGAAAACTAGACTAAAAAAAACTGATCACAAAGGAAGACTCAACTGGGCCAACTAACAATTAGTGCGCAGACTAAATATGGCCAGCCAAGTATTAGCAAGGCCATGAAGAGCCCAAAACACTCCTGTAAAACTAAAAACAGAAGTAAATAAATAAAACAAAACAGAACAAAGCAAACAAATAAATAAATAAATAATTGAAAAAGAAAAGAAAAAGAAAAAAATGAAAAGAATCAAAACACTGACATGAACTTTCAAGTGATTCAACTACTACCTCACCTGTGCAGCAACACATTTTCTTAAATTGAAACAAACTCTCATCACAAATTCTAGTCTATAGAAGAAAGTAACAGAAAAAATTAAGTTTTTAAAAAAGAAAGTCTCTGTGATATTGAATAAATGCAAACGAGTCCTTCAATAAAGAATTATTCAAAATAAATTTGCATTTGGGTAACTCAAAAATGATAGAAGCAATTTTCCCTTATATGTCCTACAATGGACTTTTGCTTTCAAATATCAAATTTCAACGTGGAGCTAACTGTTATGACTGAATCTTGAGCCCTTTAAAATTACCATTTATAAACAGTCATGCATACTAAACCAAGACCTATGGTTGATTCTCAGAGCATAAGCTCTCAAGAATTCTACTGCATTAACCAGCCAACCAGAGCAATGTAAAAATGCCTATGGGCAATAATTAATCTAAGGAGAACACAGGACAAGTGCTGTGCCTGTTCCAAACAGCTACTATTCCCCGGTTTTCATTGTGATAAATGTATAAACAGACACTGTTTCACTGGTTATACACTAAATACACAAGCACCCAATGTCAAAAACTGATAACCTCAAACATTCCTAAAGAGCAATTCCAGTACTGGCTCTCAAATAATCTATTAATCATTTTAAATTATTTGCAATTTGTAAACTGAAATAAGGATTAAAAGTGAGAGAGTGCCATGGATATTTTTGAATAGTTAATTATGAAGATTAACCAAGTTAACAAAGAAAAAAACCTTAAGTCTACTTAAGTGCTCAAGAAACACAAATATCCTTTCCTTAGCCACACATTCAATAAATTTCTCTGTACTAATTAAAAGGCATATTGAGTTTTCCCACATTCTACTACATGTAAGAAATATTATGTATGTTTTGACATCAGCATTTAACTATGCAATGTAATTTCTCCTTCTAACACCAACTGGTAAAATAGTATGAGAGGCTTACACAGAATTGTGAATTACTAAATGTCCACTTATCCAATTTAATTGCTCATTGTTCATGAAATAGTTATATGATCTTTCTAAGACCACAGGAATATTTCCTTTTCATTCAAATATTTCCCTTTCATTCACACCTTGTAGGCTACAACAATTCTAACCTACGTGCACCTAACAAAATCCAAACCTTCAAGAGCCTACCTCCCTAGGTCCTTCTATCACATTTTAGGAGGCTTCCATTTCACCCCATTACTCTTGCTGGAAACCTGTCTTAAAATACTTACGGCACGTGAAACACCTTTGAACACATATGGCATACAATTAAGTATATGGTTATATATTAGTGTATATTATTCAAGAGTTGCTTCAACTGAGTTAGTTGTATCCCTTGTAAGCTTCTCAAGGACAAGGACTATATATTTTATTTCTTTTGTATCCTTTATGGTATCCAGTACAGCACTGGTTACCTAGGTTATACGATTTTTTTAAGAACAAATGATAAATTAAAATTTATTCTTTCTTTTTTGTAATATTCCTCTCATATATGGATTACACACCCCACCCCAGTAAGACTAATTTCCAGCAAAGAAATGGGAGGACTAGCCAGTATAAATAGAAAAGTGAGGTAGTATACGCACACAGGAAACAATGTTAGGAAAGGGAAATACTACTTTATTCTAGGACTAATAAAGATGTAAGTAGAAAATTCAATAGAGAACACAGTGTATTCATGAGTGATAATAAATAACAGAATGTTCAGGACAGAGGGGGTTAAGTAATAATACAGAAACTGATTCACCTAAGTAATAGAACAAAACAGACAAGTGGCAATCTTAGAAACGAACAGACATCTCCAACATAGTTTTATGGTTTCTGGAATACATGAGAGTGAAATGAGTACGGCAGAGGGACCAGAGAGCTAGATGAAGTGGACCTGCAAAAAAGCATGTGAAGGCAATTTTTGTTTTGTGTTCTCCCTGCCTTACAATGGCATTTTTGATAATGTGTTCAACTATAGTTGGAACAGGTGAGCTAAGTGAAAAATCCTGCTCCAAAAAGGCCAAAAAATTATAAAATCACGAAGTCTTTAAAAATAAGTATCATCGTTTAGCTTTAAGTATTCAGAATCATAAATACCAATTGTTCAGTCTAGGCTGATTCCTTTGATAGCTAAAATGAGAATTCAATTTTTGGCTTACTTTGTTTAGCTAGTTAGAAATGCCAGTATTCGCTCACATTGAAATAAGTGGATAATGTTCTAAGAAAACAAGTATGTAAGGACTGATTTTTGTGGATAATACATTTTGGAATACTTCACAAGAATGTTCTATGGTCCCACATAGCCTACAAGCACTTAACTGCTACGTAAGCTACCATGTATGCCAAAAACTTATCAGTATTTTTAGGTAATTGATGTACATTTTATTACCATTATGAAATAGAAATCAGGAATTGCTATAATACATATAGTATGTCTGGGTAGGTAGTTTCAGGAATTATGTGGTAGACATAATCATGGAGAACATAGACAATCAGAAAATATTTCATGGGAGAAGTGAGATTTCAGGTCTCAAGAAAAGGTTAGAACTTAGTAGAGAAGGAAAACATTCTAAGGGTGAAAAAAAAGACTCTGGCAAGAGGCAGAAATGAATGTGTTTTCTCTGGGGTCCAATCAGGAGACAAATTTGATTAGACCAAAAAATTCAGCTTTGACTGCATGGTCCTTTCAGATGAACTACAAGCTACCGTATTAACTAATTGAAATGTAATGTAACTAATTGGAAACGTAAGGGAATCCAATCGAAAGAGATCAGGACCCTTGGGATTCTAATCTACTTCCTTACACTACATAATTGTATCACTTATGAATTTAATTAGTCTGAAACAATATATAAACACCCGTGTTACCTGACTCCATAGGAGTATCTACTACTGGGAAAATGGGAGACTACTTGTCTTAAATAACTTTAGACAAAAAGTTAGTAGAAGTGAGTACTCAAAATGAGTGGAAAAACTCCTATTATTACAATATAACCTTATTAGAAATTCCTAACCTACCCTAATTAAATATTAATGTTTAAATGTACTGCCTAACTATACACAGGCATTTAAGGGCAGAGGAACTGAAGAAACTGGGAACCAGACTGGGTTCTATCAACTTGATGCTTCAGGGAAAGTTAGGAATAGGACAAGAACTAAATATCTCATTATTTTTTTTTGAAGGAAAAGGCAGAAATGATTAGCAACAGAATAAATGTACACTTGTCACCCCAACTGAAACATCTGAGTGAAGGGGCATGCAATTAATAATTACACGGGACAAGCATAAATTGGAACATATGATCACTCTTGTCATTATATGTATATTATGTTAAAGTTTCCTAAAGGCAATGAGGAATCAGAGAATAATTCTAAATGGGAGTGACAGTACCACAAGTGCTTTCAATAAAGTTCACTTTTTTCAGCAAGGAAAATGTGAAATATGTGAAACTGAAGGAGAGAACTAGTTAGGAGATAGGAGGTTGTTTTAACAATTAACATAAAGTCAAGGCAGTGGAGATAGAGAGGACAAATCACAGAACTACACTGGGGGCAGAATCTTTACATCATTAACTAAAATGAAATAATCCTTTACATGCATACTTTATATTTTCAAAACCAGAGAGAAAACAAAGCAGCTAACTGCTACCTTACCTTAACAAAAGAAAAAACCTGAAGCACGAACAGTAAAAGCAGTGCTTAAACTAGATCCTAACTTCATTCCTAATAGACTATATCATTTAACCACACCTCCAGATTTCAAATGCAGAATTTAGGCTCCCTGTTTTCTTCCAAACAATTTCCATCTCTTAATCCTCAATCTACTTTCCTATCACTTCCTTTTGCTTCTGATCTGGCTTTTATTCTTTGATGTGTATAGGATACACCAATGCAGAGGTCTTCATCTTTCTCACCTCTACTCCCAAGAATGGTTCTTGTTTCAAAATATTAGCACTTATTTTCTTTATTATTACCTACTTAAACTGTAAGTGCTGTATCAATGAATTAGGTTGCTCTGGCTATTAAGTAATAGTCAAAGGCAACTTACTGGATTTCTAAATTCTCAAGATTCCTGCTGTATAGCACACTGGGATCATGTCATGGTCTTGTTCTGCTGTTTGTTATCTTTCCGACATATCTGAATCCCTCACCTCAGTATTTCCATGGAAGACATTTTCTCTCTTGATCATTAAGTCGACCTACTTTTTGAGAACACCAGCTTCGAATCCTGGTGATACAGCCACACTACACTGCAGCACAGAAAACCAGGATGCACACAGCTTCAGGAAGTGGAGCTAAAGTGCATTTTAACAGAAGACCTCAAAATAAAGGCAAAGCAGCTTTTGTTTCCAAACTGTTAAGCACCCTCTAAGGTCAAGAAGCTCTTCTCTGTAGACAACATTAATGTACTAGACAACATTAATGTACTAAAATAATAATAATAACTCCATGGCTGCCTAGTATAAGAGAGCTTTTCTCAAGTTAGTGTCCACTATCACAATGAAGGATAGAGGGGAAATTTCCATATTGATAACAAATTTTTAAAAATCAATATAAGCATACACTAGATCATCTAGATTCATCTGGAAGATAGAGCAGTGTCATGAAATTTCTGTGTCTGAACTTGGTTTTGTGTTTACAACCATGGTAACACCAACCTAGTTGTGTGCACTAATGAGAAATTAACATAAATATCCTTATTATATAATAAATGCATTTGTACCAAGTGAAACCAAATTATGTCAAGGTACACTACATGAATGAAGAGTTCATAGTAGTTTGAACAGACCAAATAGGTGAGGGAATAGAAACAAAAATAAATAAAAGGGCTTTATTTAGATTATTCAAGTTTGAAAAACATTAGTGTAAGATACAGAAACATCAAGAACCCACAAGGGCAAAGGAAAGTGTAAAGCAAACAAAGTCTTCTGTTGGCTGCATTTTAATTAGAACCAATCATTCTTCACATTCCATCCTGGCTACTACTTGAATTGAAAAGATACAACTCAGGGGGAAAAGTGCAGAATATGACATACTAATATTGGTGGCAGCCTTGATTTAAAAAAAAATGAGGACAGGACTAAAAAATAAGATTTCATAACCTCGATTTCAGCATTATATTGCTTAGATATCCTGCATTAAGACTCACATTTGTATACTTAGAACTTTTCTTTCTTCATAAAAATATCATGCTTATTGAAGAATATATGGAAATGCAGAACAAAGAAAAAATTCACCCACACTCTTCTTAGCTAAACTACAATTAGCATTTTGGAATATGTTCCTGTATTTACTCAACAGACAGATTCTCTGTTTTTTTAATTCTTTTTGTTTTCCTCAACATGGTTAAAGCCAAAGTACACTACAAACCACTTACCAGCACTTTAACTTGGAATAATTTCACTGGATTCAACTCACCCTCTAAATCCAAATAGATAACCTGGGATTCTATGAATTTAGAGCCAGGTGAGAGACTCTAAATATCTTCTGACCCAGATTTAAAATATACTTTAAGTATAAAAACCAAAGAACGGTTCATGTTAGAATATTTAGTGTTTGTTATATATAAAGTTAATAAGGAGGGAAAAGGCAACATCTTGGTCAGCGAAAGCTAAAGCTTATAATTCTGGCACTAAAATACTACTGAGGTCTTTGATTCTAAATAATATGTAAATAATTAGTAATAAGAGGATTTTTTTTTAAATGAAGAGAGGTAATGCGATTATGAGAACTTTAAAAAAAGTAATTAGAATTATTATACAATTTAGAAACAGAAAAACACACTTTCAGTCTGGAAATGTAAATTATATCAACTATAGCCCTAAATTACTTCAAATAAGATTTGAAACTAATTAAATGAACTTACCAACGTTCGAAACAAATTGTTATATGTATGTTTTTAAATACAGAATATCTCTCCTTGAAATATACATTAAAAAGTTGAACATTTCTAACCCACAAAAATATATAATGGAATATAAGAGGGGGGTACATGGCACATAAACTGGTGTTTAAACAACCTGTCATTAAACACACATGCTTGCACATGAATAGACATTTACTGGCTTTGTAACAGCCACCCATTTGATCTTGAATAAGTCACTTTGTATCTTTGGTCAGAGTTTCTGAATCTGTAAAATGAGGAAGCTGGAGAGTCATTCTAGCTATAAACCCTACTGAGATTTTTTTTTCCTTTCTGCATGTTCATCTCATAAATCAAACTGAGATGAAAAAAGCCCTTTTAAAAAAAATCTCTTTTAAAATCATTTAAATTAAATGTCAAAGTAAAAAAAAGTTTTCTGGTAAATTAGTACTTATGCTCTTAGAATTGGTTCCATTTAATGTCAAGGCTAGATTTTCCAATGGCTAGTGACTTCCTGTTAACATATTAATTGCTTTCAATGTATACTCCTAGCAAGATCGTATCAGCTTTTTATTCCTGCTCCCAAAACATCAATAGGAGAGTAAACAAGAGAAGAAAAACATACTATTATCATCTATAATAAGATCTATAAATTAAGTTTAAAAAATAAATATATGAAATATATTTTTTCATATGCTGTATGATACTAAATTAATAAACACCTCTAACTACATAGAGAAATTTACTTCTGAATTTTAAGTAGTCAAAGTTTATATATGAATTGTGCTCTTAATAAAACTCTGTATTTTAATGATATCTTCACCCTACAAATAAAAACCCAGGCTGGAAAACTATTTATAGGAAATCAGTGGGGACAAAACTACATACAGCCAATTAAACACTGAAGTACAACTACTCAACTATCTTTATAGGTGGCTATCTAGTTTCAAAAATAGTTTGGTTTAATAACAATGAAAAACCCAAATTTTGGTTAACTATTGGTTAATATACTTCTATAAAATCTCTATTTGACTCACCTTAGTCCAAGGGTGTGCCTTAATTTGAGGAAATTTGAATTCTGTGTAGTTTGGGTTCATTTCTCTAATTTGCTCCCTTGTTGGTGTCCCCAGGACCTAGAAAGAGAAAGCTAGTTATTGCCATGTTTTTCTATACACTTACAATTACAGTATTTATGTTTTGATGTATTGGTTTCATTGAAAAAGGGATCCCAAAGTTATACGATACATACCTCATTAAGTAGAGCAGACTTTTGTGACATTTAACTTTTACCTGACTACCATGCTATACTACCTTACACAGACTTTTACAATAATAATAATAATAATAATAATAATAATAATGTTATATCAGGGTTGTAAAAAAAAGCACAATAAAAAATTCAAGTAAAAATCAATTGATTGCAATGATGGCATCTGAACTGATAATACCTTTTATTCATTTACTAAAGTACAGTTAAAACTTTTATTATCAATAAGTTAATCAGGAGAACCATACTCAAACATGGTCATCAATAATTCCAGTCAGTCACTGAATACTTAGTGATTGTCCCCTGTGTATAAGAAACTACACTATAATTATATGGAGGATACAAAACAATAAGGAATTTCCTATATAATGAACTTCATACTTCTATGTTGAAAAAACATAGCTACAAGATAAAAATATAATGAGCACTTTATCGCCTTCATTCAGTAGGCACTGAACAAAGGAAAGTATACCGATCTGGTTGCATAAAACATGATGGGAAGAAACATTAAATGCTAAAAATAAGAACTCTGAAGAAAAAGGACACCTATTACTCATCTTTATAACTCTAGGGCCTGGGACAAAACAAGTTTGTTGAAATAAAATATTAAGCCATTTACAGTTCAAGGAGAGTTGCATAGAAGGAGAGGAATATTAATGATACATACTTCATTTGTGGTGGCAACCAGTGAATAATCAGGGCAAAGTAAGAGATTCAAAATTTTTGTTGTTGTTGCTTCTCATTCTCTAAGCTTCATGAAAACTTTTAGGCTTTAATCAAAATCTTTAAAAGTGTTGCTCTTCAAAAGACACTCTTAAGAAAACAAAACTCAAGCTACAGACTGAGGGAAAAGATCTGTAAAACATATATTCTGCAAAGGACTTCTATCTAAAACATACAAAGGACTCATAATTTAAAAAAAAAGATGATCCAAGAGGATGGCAGCATAGGTGAAAACTGCACTCAATTCCTCCCAGGACCAAATCAAATTACAACTAAATTACAGAACAATCAACATGAATAACCACTAGCTGATTTCTTCCTTGGTAAAACCAAGGATTTACAGAAGAAACCACATAGAGACCAGCGGGAAGTTTGGAGTTGCAGAAAGTGCTGGTCCTGCTCCTATGGGGGGCAGCTGAGATTCTGAAGGGATATCTAAGTTGTGGGACTTCCATTTGGGAAGCATGGGGACTCAACCGCAATGGCGGGCTCCCCAGTGCACAATACCAGAGCTGGGAAGAGGCATTCACATAACATCTGGCTGAGAAAATCAGCCTGGATTCTGTCTGCCAGGGAGAGGTAGGACTCTGCTAGAGACACAGGTGCCCTCTTAAGGAGCCAACACAGAAAACCTCACTTGCAGCCACTCACCCTGGGCTCTGTCAGAAAGAGCAGACTAGAGTTGGGTGAGAAGTGATTGCTGTTTGTGGTTCTGGAGAGAGAAAAATAAAGGGACAGGTGCTAGGACCCCTAAGCTGAGTTACTCTCCCATACTGCACACCCCTCCATATAACATCAATCTGGGGGAATGCAATAGCCTCACCCTCTGGACTCTGTCACCCCATACTACAGAGCTTGAGCCCTGCTGAGGAGTCAAATGCCTGGAAGGTGGATAGAGGTCTGGGTAGACACAGGGGGTAGGTTTCAGTGACTGTGTTGTGTGCCTTTGGGGCAGAGGCCATTGCCCCCATTTTCTCAGGCACCTGACTGGTGCCTCTCCTACACAGGAGGATCCATTAGCCCCAGTCTCCCAACTCCCAGAAGCCTCAACCTCCCAATTCACATGGCACCACCCTGTTGAGGGCTGAGCAGAATCTGGGACAGACTGAGTTCTGTGCCTCTGGGTCAGGGACTACTCAACCCACCATCCCCCATGCCTGACTGGCACCTCCCCTTCACCAGAGATCTACTAGCCTCACCCTCCCAACTTTGGTGACCCCAACTGGCTGAGATCTGGCTCTGGGCAGAATCTGGGACAGACTAAGTTGTATGTCTGGCTCTAAGATGGGGGACATTTTCCCTTGTGTGCACAACCAGAAAAGAGCCCTCCCTTTACATAGCCAAATCATGGTCTGTTTGGTCCTGATACACACTGCTGGCCTCTCCTTGATGAACCCGAGTCCTGCCCCACCACAAAGATGTATGAGCAACCAGCAGGTGACAGCTAGACTTGGTTTACCCCTGGGACATTTGCTAACTGGCTTCAAACCCAGCAAGGGCACCAAGACTGAACCTGTGTATTGATTTGTTAAATACCGTTTGCCCCTACCTGGTAACTCACTGAGAACCTACTTCACTCAACTTGAGTACCACCAGAGGCTCAGTGACTGAGCCCACCAGGCAGAGCGAGGCAGAGGCAAATCTCAGGGTGTCTTGAGACTTTAGCTGACCCGCTACTGGGCCTACTGACGGTAAAAGTAGGTTTTGGTGTGCAGCTTGGTCTTTCCAATTCACACAGTAGCCCAGAAAAGGCAGCCCAAAACTGTGTACCAGTTTAAAGCTCCAAACAGGCTGCTCAGAGCCAGTCACAAGTAGTGTCAGACTGGTTTCACCAGAGTCCTTCCCAAGAGGCCCCAGGACCAAAATAACTAGTGGCCAGCTTCAGACATCATCAAAGAAGGATCTAATTAGCTTCACAAGTGACATATACAAAGGGAGATCTCAGCAGGCACCAGACCTGCGGAAGTGAATTCCACTTTGTGTGTGGTCAGCACCAGCACAGCAGCCTGTACACTGTGGTTGGTGTTGAACTTCAGCATCAGTCAGAGGGCTGACACCACACACAAATGGCCAACAAAAGTCAAGACTCAATCACAAAAAGAGAGCCCACATTCCCAGAGCACCCAGCATCACTGGGTCCCACTGGATACCTATTATATAAGGCCACCTTACTAACTGAGAGTCACAGCCCATCTACCTAATACAGAGAAACAAACACAAAAAGGGAGCCAAAATGGGGAGACAAAGAAACATGACCTAAATAAAAGAACAGAAGACATCTCCAGAAAAAGAGCTAAATGAAGTGGAGGCGAACAATTTATCATATACGGAGTTCAGAAAGATGGTTATAAGGATACCCAAAGAACTTAGTGACAACTACAAAGAACTTAGTGAGAACTACAACAGCATCAACAAGGATATAGGAGCCATAAAAAAAGAACTACTCAGAAATGAATAAAATAATGGAAATTAAGACTACATTAGAAGCAATAAATAGTAGGTTGGAAGAAGCAGAGTATCAAATCAGCAATGTAAAGGAAAGGTAGAACACAGAAACATGCAATCAAAGCAGCAAAAAGGAGAAAGATAAAATAAGCATAGTTTAAGGGACAACATGAAGAATAACAACATCCATATCATAGAGGTACCAAGAGAAGAGAGCAAAAAATCAAGAACTTATCTGAAGAAATGACTGAAGACTTCTGTAACCTGGTGAAGAAAAAAGACAACAAATACAGGAGGGGTGCAGACAGTTCCAAACAAGATGAACCCACACAATAACACAAGATACTTTGTAACTAAAATGTTAAAGGTTAAAGACAAATAGAGAATCTTAAAAAAAAAAAAAAAAGATTTTCTTTATTTTGGTGAGGGGGGGGTGGGGAGAAACACGATGTATAAGAGAAACAGCAATTGGTTACCTCTCTCATGTCCCCAACTGGGGATCTGGACTGCAACCCAGACATGCACCCTGGCAACCTTTTGGTCTGCAGGCCAGTGCTCAATCCACTGAGCCACACCAGCCAGGGCCAAAGAGAGAATCTTAAAAGCCGCAAGAGAAAGACAGCCTCCATAATACCGTCAGCTGATTTTTCAGTAGAAATATTTCAGGTCAGTAGGGACTGGCGTGAAATAGTCAAGGTGAAGAGAAGCAAACTTAAACCAAGACTACTTTACCCAGCAAGGCTATCATTTAAAACCGAAAGAGAAATAAAGAGCTTCCAAGACAAAAAAACTAAAGGAGTTCGTTACCCCCAAACCAGTAGTACAAGATATGTTATTAAAGAGCTTGCTTTAAGAAGAAGACAGAAAAACATTGTTATATAGAAAAAATGGCAGTACCTACTATTAATTGCTTTAGGTGTAAATGGTTTAAGTGCTCCAATCAAAAGATACAGGGTAGCTGAATGGATAAGAAAAGAAGACACACATATATGTGGGCTGTCCAGAAAGTGTCCAGCCATGTAATATAAAAAAATAGAAAAAAAATAGAGACATTTATTGAAGAAAATACAAGACTCAAGAAACATTGTACATAGGACAATGACACCTCAATCCTTTTCAAAGTAGGCACTTGGGACCTCACACAGTTCTCCCAATCACCATCAGCTGTCCTGTAGTATTTTCCCAAGTCTTATCAAGTCTGAAATCTCCTCACTTTCAAAGGTGACTTTGAAAAGGCACCAAATCTGGGCTATAGGGGGCCCGAGTCACCTGGGTGATTTGATGTTTCACCAAAAAACTCTGCGTAAGACATGATGCACAAGTGGGCATGTTGTTGTGATTAAGCTGCCAACTGCCTATTGCCTATAGCTGCAGCCTTCTGAATCATCTGAATAGCTTCTGCAGAGGAATATCCAAGCTTAATGCTAAATTTGATGCAGATTTATTGCTCTACTCACTCAGACATTGTGAATGTGATGGCCACACAGTGCACATGCTCACTCAATGGCATCCACTGCCCCACTGACTAGTACAGTGAAGTTGTCATTGTTCACACATCCACATTCCAGTCCACTCTCTTTGGCTGCTGGGTTACACTGATGTCACGCAAATCATTTTCACTATATTAACAATGGCTGGACTTTTCCTGGAAAGACCTTGTATATTATCTACAAGAGACCCAACTCAGAATAAAAACTA